GTGCAGAATACCATTCAGTAATTTCACGTATCACATGGGATTCGCGATAGTTCATCTGATCAGTGGCGACAAGTTCCAAGATTGCTCTCGGATGTGTCTTTCTGGTTGTACCTTGACAGCATGCCAAACAACGTGCGGTACAACCCGAAAAGACGTCAACGCCATGCTTAACGACATGCGGTAAAACCTGGAAACATGCAAATGCCTTTGTCTGCCCGGTGAAGATGTTTACACACCGCACCGGGGTACTCATTTGAGGCCGATTCGACCGAGGGGAGGCCCAGAACCGATTCAAGTGATCGTCAATGGCGTTCGCTGTGAGCGGCAATCGAACTCGGGTCGACGGGTTCGTAGCGCGGCGCGCTAACCGCTACACTGCCGCACAACCACGCGTTGGCATGACCGTCGTTGCTCTGCCCGCGCTGCGCCACCTACGCCCCGGGCAGGACTACGTGGATGGGGCGGCGGCGCGGGGCGTGGGAGAGGGCGGTGGGCTGCAGGGCGCCCGAACGCGTCACTACGTGGACGCGATGCTGCAGGACGTGCGCGCGGCCCATCGAGCGCGCGAGGAACAGCTCGCGGCCGCCGCGCGGTCCTACAAGAAACGCGCGCGCAACTTGCTGAAACAACACGAGCCGCTGCTCATTGCCTACAGGTGTGGTGCGGGCGGGGGCGCGGCGGCGGTCTCTTTTTTTATATGTTACCAGGTAAGGCCTACTGAGCTATGCAGCTCTTTTTCAGAAGCGACCAGAAATGATAGCTCAACGAAGTGGCTCATCGTGTGGACATTTATAGCGGACAAATACTCTAAACGCACGTTTCTAAATGCGGAGGGAAAAACCGGAGGACCCGGAGAAAAATCCACGCGACCACAGGAAGAACATGCAAACTACAAATATGCAACAGGCGTCGGGGTCGGGAGGTAGTTAACATCTCAGTGAGTTGTGCTATACTGGGGACGTATGAAATTGCTCTGAAGTAAATTTTACGACGTTAATTTGTGTTTAGAGTACCCAACCTCAGTGAAGGTTGTTTACGTTCACCTGTGTCGCTCGTGAGCACAGCCAGAGGCCACGTGGACATTTGGGCTTTGTTAATGCTTCATAGAAACGTCTACAGATTTGGGAAACCGCCAATATCGCGAAGAGGCACCTGGTCACCCATCCCACTGAAGAACCTCTGGGATTTCATCTCCACCTCAAAAAAATACATGGTCCACGTTAAATCCAATCCCCACGTTTCACGGCAGATCGGCCCACAACCTTCATAAGTGGAAATTCAAATAAAGCTTGCCGTGCGATTGTGGGAAACACCGACCAGACCATAGATTCTACAGCGGTGAAAATTCAACAGAGGCATCGAAGCAATCTGCCACACATCAACCGAAGCCATTTCCTGACCCTATTATTCCAGACATTGACTTGTAAGTTGCCATTCAATCCAATCCCCACATTTGGTCTCTATTTAAGACCGAAACAGGAGGATTTCTCTACAACTCTGGCTGTCGCCTGATGAGGTTGGTTGTAATTACTGGCGAAAGATCGTACTCGAATGGTAAATGTTGTGGGTTTACTCTCCAACAGACCGATGTGCTGTACTAGTAACGAATTGACGTGATTTGTTTACGTGACAAACTTACAAATTGGCTGTGTCGGGTGGTGGCGGATTTAACGACACATTTATATTTACGCGATCTAACAACAAAAAGATCGATTATGGAAGTTGCTATTCATTGAGCCATACGCACGAGAGAGTGTGAAATGAAACGAGCGCGGTCCATGCGTTGTTCCCCCCGCCCCGCCCGCACGCACGCACGCGTGCAGGGTGCTGCGGGACCAGGTGGTGTCGCTGGGCCGCTCCGACGTGGACCCGGGTCCGCCCGAGGCGCGCTTCTCGCTCACGGACGCCGAGCTGCAGACGGCTCACTCGCGCGAGCTCGTGCAGCTACGCGAGAACAAGGCGCAGCTGGAGGGGCGCGTCCGTGAGCTCAGCGACCAGGTGCGTCCTGGTGGGGGGGGGGGTTGAGGGGGGGGTTTGCTGTGAGATGACGGACGGGTAATGATTACAGCCGGGTTAGCTGATTAAGCAACGTGATTTTTTTTGGTGGTCGATTACTTTTCTTTTGAACAATGGGGGCTAAATTACCCCACCCAGGTCGCCCGTGAATCAGACACGTCTGGCTGGTCGCGGTGGTCTCATCTGAGTCTCCACGTAAAGGCTGTGTAAGTCTATGGGTAGCGTTGTAGGTCTGTGTAAGTTTATAGGTCTGTGTGTAACTTTATGGGTGTTTATGCAAGTCTCTCGCATTCTATATAAAGGACGTCGTTTGTCGATTTGTCCCTGACCTGGTTATAAACGAATGTTACTGATTTCTGCTTGTATTAAATTAAACCTGGGCCACGGTAATTGTGTTTTAACGCTTGTGTGACCTCTATTCACAGCTGAAGGTCTCGGGAGGTACTCCAGCAGGAAACATCGAGTGAGTCAGGAGAAACGTGTCCGCTGATGCTTTTTTACAAAGTCGTGTTTCAAGAAATATACAATCCAAATGTTTTTATTTTATGTTGAAGGAAACACAGAATGGCTGCATCTTCTGGGCTGTCACCCACACGTTTGAGGTTTATTTTTTGAGAAAACAAATGTTAGATTGATTTCAAGGAGAGCACCCTCGTGACATTGCTGCAGTGATGGTGGTGGAATAAAAATCACAGCAATCACACTTGTTGTGAGATTTTAAAGTCTTGTTTTCTCACGAGTGGATTGGTGAGTGGTCGTCGAGTGGTCAGCACATTGCACGACCTATGACCTGAGTTTGAGTCCTGACCTATGACCTGAGTCCCGGCCATGGCTAACATCTTTGGCAACCTCTTGGACCCCACCACCCCCAAACCAGTAGTAAAGCATGGTCAATTAACCCTCTTAGGAAGACTCATCCAGCAGTGGATTGGCAAAGGCTGCACAAAACAAAGCTTCACACTTTTCGCACAGACCCAGGACACAGTACAGGTACATATCTTTCAAAGTCATTAACTTGCTACTTGGGTTGCATCCCCCCCAATAATTGAAAGGTCACGCGTATATCCACAGCGCGGGGCACGGCGGCTGGGCCGAGCTGAAGAAACAGCTGAGAGAGTTCACGCACACCACGCAGGTGAGAGCCGAGCACCTGAAGGATGGCGTAATAGCGGGGCGAGTGTGATTGTGATGTCTCGCGAGCGTGCGATTGCGATCATCGTTGATCGCGTCTTGTCTTTCGCTAACGCAGGAGGACCTGGAGCGGGAGCGCGCGCAGCTCCTGAGCCGAGCGCTCGTTGCGGAGGAGCAGCTGGCGGAGCTGCAGGAGTACGTGGACACTCACCTGATCAGGTGAGAACGTCTCTCGATCGGTCAAGTCTCCAAAAAATATCCCAGTCTCGTCAGGTGAAGCTCGAATCAAAGCTCTGCCTCACACCACCGTGCGCGCACCACGTGTAGCTGTGTGGCCGTCATTATGTAAAGTAGGCGTCTAACGATTTGCACAGGCAGGAGAATCGATTATTTGTCAGAATGCGAGGTCACGGTTTGATTCAGTGATCAATTCCTTTTTTTTACTTGTGTGTAGTCTCTTGTGTTCTGTGTAATTTGTATTTCATTTGTGTAATTTGTAGATATACGTTTAGATGTACGCAATAATTGTTTGCCAAATACCATTTAATTCAAGAATTTATATTTTCAGAGCTCCATCGAATAAGCCAAATTAAGTAACAAAATGGGAATTGTTTTACCATGCTTCATCACACTGCTCAGTGCGAGTCGTTGACGGCGGTGAGTACAGATGTTGGAGTACGGTAGAGTACAATGTGATGGAATTTTTTGGCTAGTCTATAGTGATGAAGCTGACACCATCACTTCGCTTCCACTTGAGAACCCAGGTGGCTGAAAGACGAATTCACCAGTGATATTAGCTGTGCCAACTGAGTCCTGATAATATTTATCATCCTCCTGAATCACTTGGCCACCTGCGAGTCATTTGTGTTACTTACCGCCGCCGTGCCCGCTACTCTCCCACTCCCGGCCGACCCCCCTTTCGCAGGTACAAGCAGGAGGTGACTCGGCTGCGAGGGATGTTGGGCCAGGAGGCCGGCCTCCCTCGAGTGTCCAGCGCCTCCACGCCCGAGCCTCCGGGCCGCGCTGCCAGACGCAGGGTCACTCTGCGCAGCCGGGAGTACTGACCCCCCCACCACCGTCCTTTTTGTGATCTCAGCGTTCGTACTGCAAGTGCTATCATTCGCATTGATACCGACAGTGCCATTGCCCGCATATGGCACAACTATACATTGTTCACGAAGATCGTTGGGAACAGAATAATGAAATGTTTAGAGGCCCACCAACCACGTGACCTAGCATGGTTTAAGAAAGGTTTCTCTACCAAATCAGATTCTCGATCCTAAGCATAATCAGCCCCACAGGTTTATGGTTTGTGTTCACACCTTGTATGGTCTATTAGTGATATACGTCATTCACGTACATTTGTCAAACAGGCCAATTCTTTCTTCCACTGACCAGGGTGGTTAAGTAGAATCAAAGAACCCTTACGACCCACCTATTAGGGGCGGGCCCTCATCCAGCAGTGGATTGACAAAAACGCGTTGTTACATATACTTGTCCGACTGTCTCCATTAGAGATTACAGCACTCATTGCCAAGGAGACATGTTTTGGCCAATTTCATCAAGATGTGACTTTAGCCTTAAAGATCAAATCTGTATTGCTGAAGCATGGGGTCCTGATATTTTATATTCACAAACGTTAGCCCACGGCGGAAATTCCTATGTCAGGCACAAGTCAAACCACTAGAATCTTGAGTGTACAGTGTATACATAGGATGCATGACATTAAATTAATTCACACCACTGGGGGACAAGAGCTTGGGGTGACCTTAATACAGCAGTGGCTTGATAATGACTGATGATGATGATAACATGCGGCATGCGTCAGAAAATGAACACAAGGAGGAGGTACATGTTGTAAATGTATACTTTTATATACATTATAATTTTAAATATGTTACACTTTTAGATTCCAGAAAGGTTCAAAGTGTTGTAAAAATTATATAATTAACCAACGTCTAAAGTTAAAGAGAAATCCCACAGCACCGACAACAACTGCACAATCCCCGAAATGTTAAAAATAGCTTTACAATATAATAAATAATGAATGGTGATTCATTATTAAATACTCAGAAGTGTATTTGAGGCGAATATTTAATTGTTAGTTTTAATAAAACTCTGTGCAAGAACTATATACAGTAAAACCTTGGATTGCGAGTAACTTGGTCTGCGAGTGTTTTGCAAGATGAGCAAATTTTTTTAATAATTATTAATTTGAAAAACGAGCGAGGTCTTGCAATACGAGTAGTACGTATACGCTTTGTCTGCCGAGCGTCATGTGATCACAACTGATATACGAGTGCTTTGGATTACAAACACGTTTCCGGAACAAATTATGCTCGCAATCCAAGGTTTTATTGTATTTTAAAATCTATGCTTCCATGAAATGTTATACCCATGCCATAAATAAATAATAAACATGCCTAAGGGTATAAGACGGTTTTAATTAGCTTCCCTGTCCAAATGTGTGCAAAAACTTGAAATTCCTGTTATCAGAGCACCTCACTGGAGTGACTGTAGACTGAACAAGAACGAAGGTTGCTCTGCAGGACTGCTACTACTTTCCACTCGGGTCCCCCGTGGTTCCTGGTTTGGGCAGGCTCTCCTCTTTCCCCTTTTCCACTGGCGCATCTGAGCCATGCCGAGCTTGACTGAAGCAGACCAGTGCGGCTCAGGAGGTGCACGTCGTTTTCCACTACGTAACCAAAACTGTGCCGCCAATGTCGCACACGTGACGTTTCACGTCGAGACGTGCGTAACTGACGTTGTGGGTAACCCTGCCTGACCCCCAGAGGTAGATTCAGATTTCTTGTGGTGCCAGCGTACTATGGTTTGGTCACGACTAGGCATGTCAAATAGCCAGTGGAAAAGAACCCGTACCGTGGGGGCCCCGCACTGGCTCGGCACGGATATACCAGCGTGAAGGGAGTACTCAGGTCCCCCCTTGGCAACCTGTAGGCCGCGTCAACTGTCCTCTACATTTTGTCGTGGCTCCCTGGGAGTTGGCCTGGCTCCGCGTGGGTGCCGTCGGACCGCTGCACGTGGTAGAGCCAGGCCCGATGTTCCCCGTCTCCTGCTTGGGCCGCGGGGGCCCACGTCGGCAGCGGAAAGCGACCAGCGACCACGCGGGCCCCGTCCGGCAGCTCGGTGGCCAGCTTGTGCTCCAGCTGGTGCAGCTGGAGGGGGGGGCGAGAGCGCAACCATGGCAGTGATGGCACAAAACCACAACATACGTGCAAACGTAGTCAGTTGGCTACCATTACAGTACATATGTGAACAGCTCTCCAATGTTTTTTGGTTCTCCATGATGTCTGACATTTTGCTCCACGTGCCCACAGCGTGCCAGGAGCATGCCAGGAGCTTCAGCATTCAGTTGCTAAAGAAGCTTCCAGCATGTGGGGTGAAACGTTGGACACCATGGCTAATAACACACGCTATGACCCGAAATACATCAAGAGAGCCACACAGCTCAACTGCAAAAATCTATGCATTTGGTATATACGTGAATGTATTTTTTTTAATTGTCTCTTTCGTCAAATTAAAACCACACCATGTTGGCCACGGGTGTTGTTTTTGATCATACCTCACCGTGCTGGTCAATGCGATTTGGTGAAGGGGAGAGACCCACAGCAGTGGCCCAGTCCTTATCACTCTGTGCTATGAAGCCGTTCACCTGAGTTTGATTCCCAGCCACGATGGACATTGGTGGCAAGTGATATCTCAACCGATCCTGGGCCAACCCATCACCAACATGCAATGATCAGGGTGGTGAAATATGGTCAAACAACCCCCCCATAACCGATATAGCTTGCGGAAGCCTTCATCCAACAGTGAACTAACTTGAGCACGGTGTAATTTTATTTGTTACCAGTGATCACAAAGTGACTCGTGCTCTCTTCTTGAGTGAACATGCCAGATTCAAATCATCGTCCCTCCACTCACCACACTGGGGGCCAGGAATACCGTCACGTTATCGTAGTTCGAGAGGTCAACCTGCAGTGGGGGAAGAGATCGAGTAAAGGTGAAGCATTTCTATAACGTGATTCGTAAGCCATCAAGTAATAGAAGAAAAACGATAAGCAGACACGAATTGTAACTCCACGACTAGGCCGTGTTGTCCCTTGACATCTGACAAGCCACAAGCTTGGATGTTTAGGGAAAATCACTGATAAGCCCTCTGAAAGACAACTGGCAAGCTTCCCCAGGTGTCATGTTTGAAAAATGAATGGCGAAAAAGCAATTTCGCAGCTGGACTGACATTTACCGATGATCCCTAACAGACATTAATCCTATATGCAGTTGACACAAATGAGTCCCAAGACATCTGGCCAGCGTAGAAGAGTACGCTAAATACCCTCTACAGCTCCCTCTTGTGGAGACTTGCTAGTGAGCAAGACAATGCAAGGCTGCACTTTTGCCTGTTTACATTTGAAATGTATACGGTAACCTGGCTACGGTGCTTTGACAGTCCCTAAACATTTTTATTCCACGGCCCATCAGAATATACGTTTGAAGAACCCACGAGTTTGGGGTTAAAAGAGCCAAGGGTGGGCGCTCGACGCACCTTCCACAGGTCGCGTCGCTGGAAACTGGCCCTCTCACGTAGGCCGGCTCTCCAGGCTCGGAGGCGCGAAACGGCGAGGAGCCATGGGTTGAGCTCGTAGCCCATGGCCGGGGAGAAACCGCGGCGGCAAGCCTCCAGCACCTGCACGCCCCGGCAGACACGCGCGGAGACCACGCGACGCCAGCGTCAGTTTTGTTTACCGGGAACACTCTCCAAAGCGTGTTGAGATATTGTGTGACGTACGCGCCTTTACGTTGCGAGCGGTGGACACTGAATGTAAACACTAATAATGTAGGTATGGGTTAATAGTTGAAGTACAGTGTGTATATGTACACTATTTCGCCTATTCCACTGGCACATCCGGGCCAACGCGGTGCCCTCACGGTACGGGTGGTTATCCATTGGCTATTTGCCACACCGAGCCAGAACCAAACAGCGACAACGCTGCCCTCACCAGTCATCTGAATTGGGCTCGGGTGGCCAATCAGGGTCAAGAGTGGGACTCGTGACGAGTATTTTGCATTCAACGTCAGCAGCACGGATCAGCTTCTGCAGTGGAAAAACAACCTGATGCCTTCTGCGCCCGGATCAGTTGTACAGCGGAGAAGACGGAATTTGTGAGCGGTGAGACCTGCACTCACGATCCGGCCGTCCCCAGACCCCAGGTCCGCGAGGGGTCCCGATCGACCCCCGAGCAGCCTCATCACGTTATTCACCTGCTGGGGGCTGGCAGGGAGGTAGGGGACCTGGGTGATAGGGGTGCAGGGATGGAGGGAACAGAGGGCAGAGAGGGTTTGAATGTGGAGGATTGAGGGATGGTCACGAGCTCCGCTTTTCGCCATCAACACCATCGTCGTTAACAGCCGTGAGTCTACTGCTGGATGGACTCTCCATGACGTGTCAATCACCGGGGGCTGTTTCGTCATACTTCACCACCTTGAGCAGTGTGGGTTGGTGGAGGCAGGGAGCATAGGTGCGGCAACATAGAAGCACTGTACCACATTGGGGTTTGCTGCATTGCCTGACGCTGCCCACATTGTATCCCCACAGGATCTAACATCTGTTATGCATCATGGTCACACCATTAAAACACAAGCTAGCCTCAAGTGTGTTTAGCTTCTGAGATCTGACGAAAACTGGCATCTCAAGGGTGTTGTACAGTACATCACATCAGATTTTAAAGGGCACCCCCAGTGGCAGATGCCCCTGTGGACGTTAGTCTGCCAGTAGGTGATGATGATTGCCGTGTATAATTAAAATCGAGTAATCTTGCATTCTGGGTGATTTGACCATTGGTGTGGCCAATGTGTACCTGTATAGTATAATGAGATCATGCTCATCGGTCTTCAACAGGTCCTAATTAATTTAATTAGCATAGTACCCCTGAAAACTCCAGGATGCTTTTTTGGGCACAGACTAAAAAAAATAACATTTATACTATGTCCCACTTTTCGACCAAAAATGGAAGTTTGCATTTGCACGCAGTGATCTCTCACGCACCCTCCGTGGAGTTGAGCTACGCTACATATACAGGTCCCAGGAGGAATGAACTCCAAATAAGCAAAATTGCAAAACGTTAGGATACGTGGTGACGCAATTCAGAAGCGCAGGAGCGATCTGGGTGAGCGCGGATGACTCTCGCCACAGGCCGCTACTGTGACGCCGCATTTTTCCAACAAACACGGGCCTGGTGTAACCGGTTGCGTGGCTGAACACAGACAAAGACCCCCGGTGACAAAACAACAAAATACTCGCCGCCCGCCACCACCCTTCCACCACCCTCCTACCCCAGCCCTGAGCTGACAACGCATCTTCCGACATGACTCCGAACACATTTGAACAGAGTCGATCTGGTTTTCGATGTGAGGGCGTGTAGCTTCTGTTTTCAAGTGTTTTTGTGGATTTTGACCTATTAAACCCCATTAAACATGGCTAATAAATAGGGAAAAAACACACACACCGGCAAAGTGATGTTTCTACTTTTACAACTGCCTATGGTAAAATAGGCTCCGATTTACGAAGGGCTTACCAGGAGCGCATTGTGTCGTAAAAGCGGTGACCGCCTGTAATGTGCTTTAATTCCATGTCGTGCCATGATGCTGAGCACACAAATGGTACCGTACATAAGTAAGTTGCGTCGCGTATTCTTGTGGGACCTTCATACCTGTCAACCGATACGGTTTACCCGAATTCTTGTACAAGAACATTGAGTTTCAGGACCATACTGAGTACAGCCGTTTTAATACATAAAAACATTTTTTGTGCCTATTTGTTTGTGTTTCTCCCTTGTGATGGGACTTTGTAGGATGCACGTTGAGCACCGAGTTACCAATGAGGTCTGAGTTGGTCTGTAATAAGGTAGGCATTGATCAGGGGTTGACAGGTATGGATCTTTCTCCGACACAAGGTGGTGCACACCTCGCTGAGAAACTTCCAGAAGTTTATTCTCGCCATGACGCGATGCCGATTATGCAATCGGATAATATTTGGGAGTCGCGAAATGAAGTGATTTTTTAGTTGTTGTTTTGTTTAAAGGGCACGGTAACCTTTAAACACACACACACCAATCATCGCAAACTCCTCTAACGGGGGGGGGGGGCAGGAGGGTCAAAGCGTGACTGCTGCCCTCGATTAAACCAAGGATCGCGATCCCCATGAAGGCCCGCGTCGATCCCAATTCTCGCGTCATTTTAAGCGGCCAAAGAGATGAAAGCGCCGGTTGAATTTTTTTTTTTAAGAAAAAATATCGGCTTCATTCTCTTTGATCGAGGTGTTTCTGTAAAAGTGGGGAGATGCAGAGGTGGGGGGGGGGGGGGAGATGGGGCAAGGTGCTCGGAGAGGGGTGGTGTAAACGGGGCTCTGTGAAGTTTCCCATTTTAAGGCTGAGTGGATCTAGAGGAAAACGAGTAGCTTCGGCTGTCGACTGCCACTGGTAGTAGTGAGTAGTCCTATCTCTAACGGTAACTACCAACTAATTAAGTAAGCAATTGGTGAATTGATTATTTACTTGATTAACCTACGTAAAATGTGCAGGTTAGATGCATACATTACGGTGCTGCGGGTAAGGTGACAATCGTGTAAGTCACTGCACCAGAATCCGCAGCGGTTACAGTCGAGGTCTTCCCTTACAGACCCGTCCCACTCGTGTACCATTCTACACCGAGGCTGAGAATAATTGTAACTTTCTGACCCGCCCCTACTGGACATCTGTGAAAAAGAGCTTCATAGCTCATCGGATTCCTCCAGTCTAAATAAAGATTGTGATACGACTAGCCCCCCCCCCCCCATCCCACAATATTAGTAGCTGGTGACCCCCAATAGTAGGTTATCCCCCTTGTTAAATCTTAACTTTCAGCTTTTGTGACTGCAGGAATTCATATTCTTTGGGTCTTTGGGTAAAGTCACGTAGATAGGTTCACAGAAAATAACAAAAAACTACGACGTTTCGACCGCTTGTGCTGCGATCGAAACGTAGTTGTTCATTGTTATTTTCCTGGAACCTATCTACGTGACTTTACCCAAAGACCCAAAGAATACATCCCCCTTGTTTACCGCGTTCCAGAATCACCACGGCCCACGGACGGGGGAATCGAACTCGGGCGTGGGAATGTTACCTGGAGGCGCAGGGGCACGCGGCGGAACCCCGGCATGAGTAGCAGGGCCCACACGGCGTAGCCGGACAGCGCGCAACAGCCGGCCGCCTGCATGAGGCCCCAGCCACCGAGCCTCTCTCCTCCTCTTGCTCGGCGTCCGACCCCATGCACCTCCTCGTGTGCGTCCACAGGCTCCATGCCTGTTCTCAATCTCTCTCTCTCTCTCTGCCACCCCTGCACGAGAATCAGCGCCGTTTATTGGCGTATTAGGCGAAAGATTTCCCGAATCTCCAGTCGCGGTTGACCTACCACGCAAGTCCACCTTTGCATGCCACTGCGAGATAGGAAGTTACACACAGCACAAGCCTGATGATTGCTAATGGTGACACCCACGTGGTGCAGAGGGCGCTGATTGAATTTGACCTTGATGTTAGGTGTGTGTGTATGGGTACTTGGTGAGTACCTGATGTGGCGTGTAAACATCACCACTGGGGAGACAAAGGCAGCCGAGCGTGGTGCAGGCCAACCACCCCCTCGTCTGCGGTCGTGACCTTCATAGGTGCTCGCTAACGGCACTGTAATCTGCAGTGCAACTTTTCAGCATTGGGACGTTGTTCATAGTTCATTTATTTGGTATAGCCCTGTGAGCCATTCGGCTCTTGAATCGGGTGCAACCGCAACAAACAAAAACATGAACAAGAAAACATCTTAAAGTTATTATGTGACCGTGCAAACAGAAAATCCAGGAAAAAAACATCAAAATATTCCTGAAATAGCACCGTACACCAACGCTGTGTGCAAAAATCCCAGTGGGATGCAAGTCAAATAACAACAACAACCACAAGACAACTAAGATTAAGGCCATCAGTCTAACTCCGTACTACAATAAACAAAACATGGCCAAAACAAAAAAAAAGTTTGCGAAATCACCAAAATAAAAGCCATAAATGCAATGTAACAGTGATCATAGGGACTGTGACCGAATTTTTAACAATAAACTACATAAATTAATTATAACACCAAAATCTAGAGCCATATTTTAGACCACTGAATAGCAGTGGCAGCTAGGGGTGTACAACTCCTCTAGAGCAGTTTTGAGTGAAGATCTCATAGTGATTCAAGTTACAGTTTATTGGCAATATCATTCCAGACCCTGGGGGTATCAATAGCAAAGGCCCTTCCCCCAGTTTTTGTACGGCAATAGGGAATGTGAAGCTGGTAAATGAGCGAAGACCTGAGGTCAAATTTGTTCTTTGAAAAGTTGTGCCCAACAATACCAGTTACAAGTGCATTTGTTTTTATTTTACTTTAGCTATGCGGAAGGAACCAGGACATTCACCTAACACAGGCTCGCCATCCACAGTGCAGGCGTGTTAAACATTTTATAATCAAGGTTGCGCTGTGTGTCCCTCTCAGATGTGTGATCGGGCTGTTCGCATCCCGAGTCAACAGAATTCATTCCATTGTTGGCACAATGCGGGACACAAACCGCGTCTGTGTCCAGCGAGAGGTGACATCGCCACGGACCGATAGCGATCAAAGATAAAGATTCCCCCTCCCCCCCTATAGCCTTGGAGGCCGTCCATAAATGACGTCACGCACCTGGGGGGGGGGTCAAATATTTGTGACGATGTATGACGAGGGGGGGGGTTGAGAAATGTGACGTCACATCAAAATGCGCAACTTTAAATAAATATAAACAACACGTTCTACTAGCTAATTTAATTTAAATGTTATAACACAAATTTTGATTACTTAGTTAAATACGCACTACAATTCCACACGTTAAAGCGATTTCAAGAATGTTTAATTTTTGGGGGGGGGGGCGGGCAGAGCTTTGTGACGTCATATTTGAGGGGGGGGGGGTCTGACTTTTTGTGATGCCGTGTGACGATGGGGGGGGCTCAAAAATCGTCCAAAATCGCGTGACGTCATTTATGGACGGCCCCTTGACAGACTTATTGTGGCAAGTGTTTGTTAGCGAGTAGGGGGGGGGGTGTGGGTGGGCAGCACCACGCCCGGCCGCCTTTGTCTCCCCCACCAGGTACTCATTTGAGGCTGAGTCGACCTAGGAGAGGCCCAGGACCAAGTCCACATGTTCGCCAAACCAACTGCGCCACACAGCCTCTAAGCGCGCACACACGCTGACCCTCCCCCCCACCCCCTCTACTGGACACCTGCGGTCAAAAGAGCTTCATAGCTCATCGGATTCCTCCTGCAGTCGAAACAAACATTCTGACGCCGGCACTGGCGCCTGTCTTTGAGGCGTGCGCCGTGGCAGAGGCAACCCGTGGGTCCGTGAGAGGGCGCAGTGCGCTAACCACTGCCCCGCCACTCCCTTGATGGTGACCTGTAAGCACAAATGTTAAACGTACAATGTCTAAAACACACACGCACACGCACGCACGCATCCACCCGTAAAGACGCTTGGCCCAACGAACGAACTTTTCTGGGTCTCATCGGCACGGGCGGCTTGTTGATGTTACTCACGGGCAGGGTCAGCGCAGCGCTGGCTCGGTCGTGGGGGTGGTGGTGGTGATGGTAATGGGGGGTGGTGGTGATGGGGGTGGTGGTGATGGTAATGGGGGGTGGTGATGATGGGGGTGGTGGTGGTGATGGGGGTGGTGGTGATGGGGGGTGGTGATGATGATGATGGGGGTGGTGATGATGATGGGGTGGTGGTGATGATGGGGGTGGTGATGATGATGGGGTGGTGGTGGTGATGGGGGGTGGTAATGATGGGGGTGGTGATGGGGGTGTGGTGATGATGATGATGGGGGTGGTGGTGGTGATGGTGGTGATGTTAAGGCGGTGGAAGGCGGCTGGGTGCTGCTGCTAGCGACAGCGATGATGACGACGATGACGTCATTGTTGTTGTTGTCGCGTCGTCCACGTCTTGTGAGACTGAGCCCAGTGATTGGTCGGCTGCCGCTGGTGACGCGGGTGGGAGGTGTCAAAGGCGGTCACCGAGTCGCGTGTTCACAGCGGCTCGCCGGCGTCGAGCACGTGGTGTGTCTGCCTACATGGACATCCCCCACGTGTCGTCTATCCACTGCTGGATGAAACCCAAAAACCCTCGCACCTCCTCCCCCACCCAATGCCGTGACGGGCTCACGGCGGTTGGTTTTGATTTGTTTGGCCATACTTCACCACGATGGTGAGTCCGGGTTGGTGAAAGAGTGTGGCTCGGGATAGATTCGGATGTCACGCCACTGATGGTTCGCCGTGTTGACTGTATACTAGGGTACTGCACGTCAGCTATTTAGACACGCAGTGGTTGAATCGAGCCGCTGCCCAAGCTTAAGTGAATGAAGTTCTGAGCTGCAATGCCCTGGTCAATTAAGATGATCTGGTCATATTTCTCTGGGGATGTCCGACGAAACGTCGGAACGTCGGACATACCGAACAATGCATTGGAGAGCTATATACAGCACTAGCTGTACTATCCGGCTTCGCCCGGGATTTGGATCCACCACGGCCGGCCGCCTTTGTCTCCCCAGTGGCGATGTTAACACACCACAGCAGTTACTGGTTTGAGGCTGAGTCGACCTAGGGGAGGCCCAGGACCGGTTCAAATAATCGTCACCGGTGGTGGCCGTGAGCGGGAATCGAACTTTGGTCGCCGGGTTCATAGCACGGCGCGCTAACCGCTACACTACAATGCGTTACGCTTCTACATGCGCGGGTCACATGACAGATTTGACGTCAGCTCACTTGCCGTGCAACTAATAAATGCATTATTGAGCTCCCCCCCCTAAAAAAAAGTGTATTTTTTTATTTTTGCATGGTGTACAGTCTGGAAAGTACCCACATGGCAAATTTCCAGTTTGTTGCATGTCGGGAAGTACGCTAAACATTTTGAACAAACACACATATTCACAACTTTGCCTTTTATATATGGAGATAACCGCAACAATAAAAAACGTAAGCATTCATAAAATGAATGTACGGAAATACGTCAAAACAAAAATCGGTAGCCCCTATGTAAATCCACTGCTGGATGAAGGCCTATGCAGTACTCTGAATAGAGCGGAGTGGGTGGGGGGGAAGTACGCTGAGCGATGTGGGCATTGTTGATGGGCAGAGCCGGTTAATCGGGACGACCGCCCTGGGCCCCGCTTTCTTTGGGGGGGGGGGCGCATGCGGTTTCGTGTTGAAGGCGTCAGAGGGGCCCACACAGTGTAATTTGCCCCTGGCCTCGCACCGTCCTATGGACGTCCCTGATTATATGTGGAATAGTGTGGTTCCTTACTGGCGGTACTCACAAGAGAGAGAGACACATTCGGAGAGGGAGATACGGAGACAGGCAGGGAGAGATGGAGAGATCCAGACGGAGAGTTAAGAGATCTGTGGAGAAGAATAAAAACACGCATACAAACAGACATACGGAGAGAGACAAACTCACAGACAATAGGTTCAGACACAACGAGTAGCAGCAGCAGACAGAGCTACTGAGAGGGACAGGTAGCGACGGTGATTAATTAACAGGGTCAACAGGAAGACACCAGGAGAGACACGGGCAGACTTCGGAAAAGTACACAAAGACAAAGATCCCCAAGTGTAGCCTGAACAGACTGTTGGGGCAAGAGCACTTAGGGAGCACCTATGAAGGCCGGCACGGCACACGACGGGTGGGTGACCAGCACCACGCGCTGCCCGCCTTTGTCTTCCCCAGTGGCGATGTTTACACACCCGCACCAGGCACGCATTTGAGGCTGAGTTGACCTAGAACCGGTTAGGATAATTATCCTCACTGCTGTTGGCCGTGAACGGGAATCGAACTCGAGTGGCCGGGTTCGTGGCGCAGCTACACAAACACACGCCTTACGGAAACAGACACAGACAGGCACGTAAATAGACACGTGGGGGTGGAGAGACAGACAATATAACTTGAGCCACAAGTAGCAGACACTGTAGACGGAGAGCAACAGCTGACAGGTCTTTTAAAACGGCAAACACGTGTGTGTGTGTGCGTGACCCGTGAGTGGGTCTACCCGAGGTCGACTCAGCCTCAAACGAGCACTCTGCCTGGTGCTGTGTGTAAAACATCGCCACGAGGGAGACAAAGGCGGCCGGGCCGGGCGTTGGCTACCTACCCACCCCCTACGCGCGACGTGGCGACCTTCATAGGTGCTCGCTAACAGCACTTGCCCCCAGAGGGGGCCATCCATAAATTACGTCACGGGGTTTTAGACGATTTTTGACCCCCCTTCCTCGTCACACGACGTCACAAAAAGTCAGACCTCCCCCTCAAATATGACGTCACAAAGCTCTGCCCCCCCCCCAAAAAAAACATGCTTCAAATCGCTTTAAACTATTGTCATTGTAGTGCGTATTTAATGTGCCGCTGCACTCTGATGTTGTAGGAGAAAAAAATATTAAAAAGTCTATTTAATAAAGTAGAGCGTGTTGTCTATATTTATTTAAAGTTGCGCATTTTGATGTGACGTCACATTTCTCAACCCCCCCCCCCCCCCTTGTCACACATCGTCACAAATGTCTGACCCCCCCCCCCCCCCAGGTGCGTGACGTCATTTATGGACGGCCGACTAGAGTCAGTTAACGCTATACGGGGGGGGTTTGGTGTTTGTCTTTGTGCTGGGAAGTGACACGGGACATCCCTAATATTTATAACCAGGGGGGTATCCCACAGGTGCACACACGGCCAGTCTCTCGCGAGGGAGAGGTGGGATGGGGGGAGCAGCCGATACCGGTGCGTGCCCGGAGGTGGCTGGACAGCCCCAAGAATGTTTAAGAGATGTACAGTAAAACCTTGGATTGCGAGCATAATTCGTTCGGGAAACGTGTTTGTAATCCAAAGCACTCGTATATCAAAGCGCTCGTCGTAGATCAGTTGTGATCACGTGACGCTCGGCAGTACAAAGCGTATACACGTCGTGATAATTTTATTGTGTTATTTTATTTGATCAATTTATTATTTTATTCTCATTCTACATGACTTTACCGAAAGAACCAAAGAAGACGTATACACGTACTACTACTCGTATTGCAAGACCCCTCACTCGTTTATCAAATTAATATTTATTTAACATTTTTGCTCGTCTTGCAAAACACTCGCAGACCAAGTTACTCGCAATCCCAAGGTTTTACTGTATATCTATAGTAACCGTGTCGCTACAAGACACCCCCAAACCTCGGCACGAAAATCGTGGTTTGGTGTTTTTCTCCCTTCAGCAATGCGGACGCGATTCCGGTTGTGCTGATGACGGAATGTGTAAATACACAGGAGCACGCAAGCAGTTGGTTTTCAGTACTTGAGTCGGCATCCAATAGTTGGGCGGATTTAAGAATAACAATGCTTTTCTTAAATTCGCGTGGATTTCCATCACGGGAATTTACCTTCACGCCATTCATTCTGCACGTTGCGCCGTTATTGGCAATCGAGTTGAGACCGACTCGGCTTAACAGTGGCTGACTCGGGGTCTCCCTGGCGTGGCCGCGATGAGTGCTCTGATAAACAGAGGCCAAGTCACTTATCGGTGGGTTTTTTATGTATTTATTATCGATAGTGGGGTTAGCTGGGAGCAGGACAAACCTGCAGGGACCAGGTGCTGACCGGATCCCACGAGGCTAACACTGGAGTCGGTGAAATCTCCAGTTCGATCCGGGACCCAGGAGGGTCGATGGTGGTGGGGGTTCTGCGATAGGCATAAGATGAATGTAGAAATCCTTCGAAGCGCTCCACTTTCCTGTTATTACGTCATCGAATGCAGGTTGTGATTTTGTAAATTCCGCAGATTTCTCTCATCGCCAACGGTGACTCACTCAATGCAAGCAAGGCACGTGTGGGGCGCATGGGTTCGACTCCCCAGCCTGCTCCCAGAGCATAAAATCCACCAAACCACCGACTCGCGATCAGACGGCAATCGCCACCATCCTCACAGCTTACACCAACACCACCAGCAACATCTACATACCACTACCATCACCAACACCACCACCCAGAGCCTCCACTGCAGACTCTGTGCAGGAGAGAGACACGTTTGGTCTGTGTAGGTACACAGCGGGGTTGCGTGTCTGCGGTGAAGTTCTGTTTAACGGCTCTCCGGGGGATCTGTGCCTTTATTTGGGTGGAGGTGCTCGTGTTTGCCGGGTGAGGCGCGTGCCCGGCCAGGAATGCTGCGTGGCCCGGGTCTGCTCCTTGCGCCACGGCCACCACCATCGCCACAGCACCGGGATGCGCTGACGGAGTTCCCACCACCCATCCGACTGCACCTGCTGCTGCTCCTGCCCTGAGCTGGGCAAGTGAGTCTCACAACATTCATAATGATGACTTCAGATGTCGCGTATTTTTTTCAACATAGACTAAAAGAAATGTTACCAGGTAAGGCCCTCCGAGCTATGTAGCTTTTTTTCAGAAGTGACCTGGCCACAACGAAATGGCTTATCACGTGGAAATGTAGAGCAGCCAAATACTCTGAACGCATGTTTCTAAATGTGGAGGGAAAAAACCGGAGGACCCACACGACCACGGAAAGAGAGACATGCAACCTCCAAATATACAGGCGTCAGGCTCGGGATCGAACGCACCACCACCTGTGTACCAGGCAAGGTAGTTAACATCTTGCCACCGTGGCACCGTACATATCAGAATCTTTATCATAATCTGAATATGTATTTATCCTGGTGGAATCCGATGAGCCATGAAGCCCTTTTTCACAAATATCCATTATATATAATAGAGAGGCTCAGTGAGTTTCATCGAGGCTTTTTAGGAGGGTCCTGCTACAGGGCATGGTTGGCCCAGTTTTGTATTTTTCTTCGTGTGTGGGAGGAATCCGGAGTATCAAGAGAGACTCCCTCACACATATGGGCGGGATGACACAGGTCCGCACAGATGGATTCAGCCCATTAGGTTTGGGAGGATTACAAATGTACGAGATCCACCAATCTTTGCTTCCAAAGTGCTGATTACAAGTCTTGATGCTAAAACCACACTATACATATAGGCTATTGTAACCTACTTTCTTTACTACATTAGGTGGGCAAGTTCCAACCATATCATTGCCCTGAAGGTGGGTGCCTCGCACGTGCACCATCTCAGCATGATCCAGCAACCTAACTGCCTCTGAATCATTATTACAATGAATAATAATGATGCCCTTTTGGTACTCACGGCATCCTCATCGAGCCTCAAAATGTTTTCAGGGGTGTCCTGCATTGGCATATTTGCACAGTTTCATAATAGTAATGTGTTTGGGAGGAAACTGGAGTCACCTTACAAGATTCACCCGCATACAAGGGGAGCGATGCACACATCTCCTAAGAGATAGATTTAATAATCCATTTATGTACCTCCATCCCTTGGCCAACTCGCAACCCATGCCTACAACAGATGCTATTCCCAGGTGGTCTCCCATCTAAGCACGAACCGGGATCAACTCTGCTTAGCTTCCGAGATCTGACGAGATCTCAGGCACATTCAAAGGCTATCTGGCCATAGGCAATTAGTGCTCAATTAGCATCAAATTAGATGCAGACTCCAAAACAGATGGCACCTGCTCATCTCCTCCTCCTCCTGCCATCCCCGTCCAAATCTCTCTCGCCCGCTGCTCCCCCCCCCCCACCTCCTCTTTGCTGTGCTAATGAGGACCCGGCCGCGGTGCGCAGGAGGTGGTTTGATGTGCTGACCTTTAACGGGCGTCGAGGAGGTGCGGCGAAGGACGTGCAGTGAGGAGGTCCGGAGCAGAGGAGGAACCGCACGGATCCTGAGTGGGAGCCGCAGAGGAGGAGACGGTGCTGGTGGTGGTGGCCGAGATTCTCGGAGAGAGACGATCCCTGGCTCTTGTCCCCACGTGGACCGAGAGGTCACACTTGTCGTGGACCGGAGTGGGTGCAAGAGGTCGTGAGGACATCGCCGTTCGACGAGGTGAGGACATCGTGGCTACGTGCGCACTGCGTCCGTGTTAGTAACGCTTTCGTGATGTGTGCCGTGCAAGATGTTCGTGTTCATTAAGCAATCGCCATTCAATTTTTCGAAACTATTAAATGTATTAAAGATGTGTATAAAACGCACTATTAAATGGATAGTATGCACTGGTAGAATGGGTGAAGAGGCTTTACACACTTCAGAGGTGACGACAGGGGGGGAAAAGGAGGTGATTCCTCCTCGCTCACAATTTTTAGATGGTGCTTGTGTGATAAATAATGTTTTCGATTGTTCGGAAATGTTAAATTATAGGTCAATAATTTAGACTTCTTGCTGTTCATTTCATTTTAGGTAAATTTTCTAAGTCATGGGAAGTCCTAATTTGCCTCCTCTGAATGTTTATCTGGGTGCGCCACTGACACACAGCAGTATTTTTAAAAATAAAAATTATTATGAAGTCCCCTACATTTAAGTCGATAAGTATAAATAAATACGGAACAAGGTTAGTATCTTCTTGATTCTTTCGGTAAAGTCACGTAGAATGAGAATAAAACAATAAAACAAAATAAGACAATAAAATTCTCACGACGTTTCGGCCACAACACAAGTAGCCTTCTTCAGGTGAAGGAACAGAACTGTCGGGACGACAGCGCTTCAATGAACGCTGCTAAGCTTGGCAGCGTCTTTTAAGCTAGGTGGGAGAGGTAGAGCGCCTTGACAAAGGAGTTTACATATCAAACAGGAGAATTTAGCTTTGAAATAGCTGTGTTAAAGTGTTGGATCAGCAGGGTGTTAAAGTCAGAAATTAGCATGTAACTGGGAGATTAGCATGATGTTATTGTGAGGGATTAGCATGTGACTGGTCACGGAAATAGCTATGTTAAAGTCAAAGTTTACATATCAACAGAGGCATTTAGTATATGGACGCTAAAGGACTGCAACTACCCACTATCATACAATAAACCGATGTGAAAAAACCTAAGTATAAACTACATCAATATACTAAATGTACTCAATATATTATTCAATAAGTTGGACTATTAACATAAAGTAACTGGGTATACACTACACTATATAATGATTACCATATAATAAACTAATAAAAACTAAAATATAAACTACATCAATGTTATCAATAAACTCTATATACTCTCCAATCAGCTGAGCTACTGACAATAAGTCGTTATACATTACAATGATATATGGCGAAAAAATGGGTGGCGGTTTTTTCTTCTTTCCAACATTAGCACCACGGACAGCGACGAGCTTTGTTCAGACGGACGAGACCATCTATGCTCGGAACGGAGGAGGGGGGAGAAACAGCCACGATGCGCTGTTATACTCCATGTTATAAACCATACCATTAGTTTTTGTTCACATCGGTTTATTGTATGATAGTTGGGTAGTTGCAGTCCTTTAGCGTCCATATACTAAATGCCTCTGTTGATATGTAAACTTTGACTTTAACATAGCTATTTCCGTGACCAGTCACATGCTAATCCCTCACATTAACATCATGCTAATCTCCCAGTTACATGGTAATTTCTGACTTTAACACCCTGCTGATCCAATACTTTATCACAGCTATTTCAATGCTAAATTCTCCTGTTTGATATGTAAACTCCTTTGTTAAGGTGCTTTACCTCTCCCACCTAGCTTAAAAGACGCTGCGAATCTTAGCAGCGTTCATTGAAGCGCTCTCGTCCCAACAGTTCTGTTTCTTCACCTGAAGAAGGCTACTTGTGTTGTGGCCGAAACGTCGTGAGAATTTTATTGTCTTATTTTGTTTTATTGTTTTATTCTCATTCTACGTGACTTTACCGAAAGAACCAAGAAGATGAATCCTTGCAGTCACGAAAGCTTTAAATCGAAAGGTTAGTATCCATTGTGAAATGCCCAACGTGGGCTGCTAACCGAGTTAGTATCCCCGTAAATTCTTTATTAGAATCTTTATTTAGACTGGAGAAATCCGATGAGCTATGAAGCACTTTTTCACAGATGTTCCAGTAGGGGCAGGTCAGCAGGTTGCAACAATGAACAATAAAAAAGCGTTTAAAAAACTAACGATGGGAGTGAAAAATACAGAAAAATAAAGCACATCACGAAAAATAAATAAATATCAAATCAAGTATATTTGATACTTCAAGTATATTTGATACTTCAAATATACTTGTACAAATCGCATAAGTACAGAAATTCGTGATGATTTTTTGTTGACACGAAACGCAAGCTTTTTGGACAACGCAGAAAAACACCAAAACAGTCCCAGACCACACCAAGACAACAGCACACAGTCCCTCAATTAACTTGCACGTTAAAATTGAGCTATCGATACACGGGTGTTCAGGATACAAATAAATAAACAAATCACATTTCTAAACGTGATTGTATCCAGCACCAATATTCTGCCACACGGGAAGCAATGGGACAAGAGGCTTCTGTTCATCCAGCCCGACTACCTCCATGCTTCATCCCTCCGTATCGCTCCGTATCGCTTCATCACTCCGTCCATCCCGTCGTGTGATCATTTATACATCACACGCGGCGCATTGATGTAAGGTCAATGCCACGCTACACTGCCGGGGGTCCCATACTTAGCGCCTTCTGTTTACCCGGCGAAACCCCATAAACAAGCTGCCGGCCTAATTCGGGGTCAAGAACAATTAACATTCACGTAGAACAACAACAATAGCAACAAGAATGGCAAGAACAACAGCTAAACTATCAGCGTGCACCACGCTGTGGACGAGTGCGGTGGTGCACGTCTGCGACCCGGCCATTTGGAGATGGGGTTAGTGGATCATCAAGAGATCACGTGCGTGAGACACCCACTTTGCAAGCTTTTGTTTCTTTAAAATATTTCACGAAACAATATTTGTATATTTAAAAAAATGTGTTAATTTTTTGTAAATTAAGGACCTTTTTTATAGAAAAATGTACATTCACTTTAAGATTCGTGTAGTTTGACAGTCTTCTTATTTCTTTCGTATGGCATTGTTTTTACAGCAAAGCGCAGTAAAAAAAATATTGATTGCTGAGTGAAAAAGTCCTGGTAGCCTACGGCCCGTGGGTCAGATACAGCGCGCAGCTTCTCACGGCCACGTGAGGCCTGCCCCTTATGAACCAACGGCCCAAAAACGAACGACATTTGTCCGCAGGAATATTAGCCGCGCTAATCAGGTAGCAGAGGTGGGATATCTTCGTCCTGGGAAGAACTTTTTAGAGCTGCGCTCACTCGCTTCTGTCACTGCAGGACCCCTCCGTCGGTGTGTGTTTTATACGTCGCTTGTTTGTTGGATAGCGCCCAAGGTTCGTGTTAATGTACCTCGTGAAAGGTAATTTAGAAGTCCTACTCAGCCTTCAGTAAGTAAAAAAAAACTCCCCGCACATATCAACAACTTCAATACCGCGGAAGTGCAACCGCGTTTCTCAAGACACTTATAGCAACGAAGAGCTGCGCTCGGGTCATGGTGGTTTTGGCGGTGGTATTTGAAAGTCTCATAAATGTTTCCACACCCCCTGCCTTCACCCATCCAGGTGGTGGCATCTGTCTGCTGGTGGCACCAATCTGCTGGACTGACATCGGTTAGCCTTGAGCGATCGGATCCGCCGATCGTCCAATCCACTCCTCATAAATAAGGGGGGGGGGGGGGGCTCATCATCATCATGCCTGGCACCGAGGGGGGCTCTGCGGGGGTCCCGGCGGGACGGCCTCGTTTTCGCGATGGGGTGAGGGTGCGCACAGCCATGGCGAGCAAATGTATGCGGGGGCTGACGGTGGCGGGCTTGAGGAGGTTCCTCGCCCGGAACGCCTTCGTCATTTTCACCCTACTGGGAGTCGTCTTGGGTACGTACGTGCACGCGTACGTGTGATTGTGTCCGTGTGATTGTGTCCGTGTGATTGTGTCCGTGGTGGAGCGGTAGTGTAGCGGTTAGCGCGCTGTGCTACGAACCCGGCGAACACGAGTTCGATTCCCGCTCGCGGAAAACACCGGTGACGATTATCTGAACCGGTCCTGGGCCTCCCCTAGGTCGACTCAGCCTCAAATGAGTACCTAGTGCGATGTGTAAACATCGCCACTGGAGAGACAAAGACCGGCCGCACGTGGTGCTGGCCACTCACCCCCTTGTGGGTCGTGCCGGCCTTCAAATGTGCTCCGTAAGAGCAGCACTTGTCCCAGCAGGCTGTTAAGGCTATTCATGGGATCTTTTTGTGCGTACGTAACGAGCCAGAAGGGAAGTTGTTCGCAGGTTGTGCCACAATCTCGGCGACCTGGCTTTGACTACTGACCATAAGTGGCATCAAGGCTCTTCTTGCACAACGCTTGAGTTGACCCGCAATAAAATGAGGACTGAAATGTGTGGATGCCATCAGCAATTGTGTTGACAAAACGAAAATTATGATGAGACTACGTCCGTAAATTTGAGTATGAACCAAACAACAGAGGAGAGATTAATCTTGAATTGAGATTGAAACTGAGATGGGATTGTAGGGGGAGCGGTGGCACAGTAGTTAGCACACGGTGCAATGAACCCGGTTACCTAGGCTAAGGTGAGCAGCGAGTGATATTCAAACCGGTCCTGAATCCTACTTCAGTACTGGCCAGCGTGGTGAAGTATGGTCAAGCAACCCCCATGACCGACGCGGAATGGGGTGGCTTTCATCCAGCAGTGGATTGACAAACGGGCTTTGAATTATAGTAGGGTTATAGGCAGTGCCGGATTTTCCTCGTAGCAAAAGTAGCATTTGCTTCCAGGCCCCGCACTTTCAAGGGCCCCGCGCTAAATGCTTTCAAGCTATCAATTCCGATTCAGTGATTCTGCACTTGCTCTATTACTATAGTACTATACTGCCTTCAACTTTTATGAACGACTGGGTGTTTAAGGTTAGCGATTTGTCGTATTACCTGGCTGTATAGCAAATGAAGAAATACAACTACTTTACTATGCAAGTAAAAAATTTCTATTTTAATATTTGTGTTTTTTTATATTTAGGGCCCCTTTAAAACATATGCTACAGGCCTCGCACTAGCTTAATCCGGCACTGTTCATAGGTTAGATACAGGACTATCCAAACACCAGAGGAAATGTGAATTTTGAGTTCAGATTTAAACTCAATTACCTTTGCGGTGCTGGCAGTCAATGGGAGATGGACAGCTGCCAGGGGTGCACCACAGGAGAAGGGGGGACCACCCACCCCAATAAGTACGCACGGGTGACATTTGAGCGGCGCCAGGCACCGCGGCGAGACCCATGAATTATAAATGTGGTGACTCCACGGGGCACGGTGACACGCACGACTACGCTGACACGTGCAGAGAGATGCCGATTCATACAGCAACGCTGACACACGCAGAGTAACGCTGGCACACGGTGATGCGCGCACAGTGATACTGGTAACACATATTGATGAGGCACACACGGTGGTACAGACGAAGACACGCATAACAATTAAGACACACAGCAATACTGGGACAGAGACTCAAATGTAAGATTCCCCCGTATAGCCTCTAACAGGCCGTTGGGGCAACTGATGTTAACGAGGAATTATGAAGGTCGGCATGGCCCACAAAGTGGTGGGTGGCCAATACCACGCCCGGCCGCCTTCGTCTCCCCAGTGCTGATGTTTACACACCGCACCAAAGACAAAGATCCCCCCTATATCCCTAACGGACTGTTGGGGCAAGTGCTGTTAGCGAGCACCTATGGAGGCCGGATCGGCACACGAGGGGGTTGGTGGCCAGCACCTCGCCCGGCCGCCTTTGTCTCCCCAGTGCTGATGCACCACGTACTCAGACACACACAGTGACACTGGCACACAGTGATGCCACACACATCTCAGTGCGTGTGCTTTTCTCACCCCTGAGTAACACGACGTCCGTATTCCAATGCCCATGGGAAAGTGTTATTGTTCAAACTTAAGGCAATTAAGAGTTAGAGGTAGGATTAGGCTCAAAGTATGGATTAGTGTGGCAGCTCGAGTGAAGCTAAGTTGAGAGTTATAAATTATTAAAGACATCACCGAAATGTCATTACCTCCTCGTTACCCCCATGGATCACAGCTCCGTCCCCCAAGTGCGTGCCCAATCCTGGGCCTCCCCTCGACCAATTCAGCCTCAAATGGTACCTGGTGCGGTGCGTAGTAAACATCGCCACGGGGGGAGACAAAGGCAGCCGGGCGTAATTGCTGGCCACCCAACCCCCTTGTGTTGCCGTGTGGGCCTTTATAGATTGCTATTCGCCAACAGCACTTGCCCCATCCGTCTGTTAAAGGCTACGCTGGGGGGGGTGGTGTGGAATCTTTGTCTTTGTGCCCACAGGTATCGTGATGGGCTTCTGCCTGCGCGTGTACCCGCTGTCTCGCCGCGAGGTGCGATACTTCCTCTTCCCGGGGGAACTGCTCATGCGCATGCTGCACATGCTCGTGTTGCCGCTCATCGTCTCCAGCCTCGTCACGGGTGCGAACCCAAGCACTGGGACTCTCCAGGGAGACCTCATGGAACGGGGGGTGGGGTGGAAAGGGGGGCTCAGGCAGTGGGGGGGGGGGGACTGTTGTTAAAAAAGATGTATAATAATACATGTGCTTGTGTTGTTGGTCTGGAGACCGGGAGATCGATGATGATCGATGTTCGGTCGCCCGCGTTGATGGCATTCATCGTGATTTCTCACTTAACGGAGTAGGGCACGTGAGGGCTGCCATCTTTCGCTCCATGTACTGATGATGTGACACCCATCTCTCCCCCCCCCCCCCCCCCCCCCCCAATATCGAAGTGTATACTGGATGTGGCGTGCCGGGAATATTTTCCGGCATCCTGGTAGGCTGGAAGTAGGTGGCACGTGGCACGTGACTAGCAGCCACATCCCGTAGATTTCTCTGTTTAGTGGATGTGGTGTCCATAAAATGGATGTGGCGTGGATGTGGTGTGCCGGGGGTCCGTGTCATCCTAAAATGCCGCACGTGTGCACCGTGACGCCGCACGCATGGCCGCTCGGCATTTTCAACGTCCACAGTGAAGCAGACGGTGTGTTGTGATCTACGTTTTAACTCGTGGTTAATAACGCAAGCAAATATTAACCAGGGCAGCCGCCGGGCTCAAACCGAGCAGCTCTGGAAAATCAAAGCATTAGCACAATTTGGTGTGAGCAGTTTTATGGCGAGCAGCAAGTCTGTAACAAAGGAAGGCGCTATGTTTTGCAGGCATGGTCTGCAGTATTTTCGCAGAAGCAACCCATCAAATATGGAACGTTGGGCTAACGTTGGTCCAACGTTTCCAACCACGTGCCAACATTGATTGGCATATGGTGGGGGGGGGGGGGGGGGGGCGCTGCCAAGCCTTTTCCCCCAACCGAGTGATCGCACCGAGCGGCGAATGCGCTTCCCCCAACTCAGCCGTGCCTGTGCCAAGCCAGGTGCACTCCGAGGCCACGTGAAGTGTCGAAGGCTCGCTGCGGGCAGGTCACAGGGCAGGCCCAGGGTGCCATGGGTTGACTGACTTGATATGACTGCCGGATGCACCACCTGTGTCCCCTGCTGTGCCGTGTCAAAGACAAAGATCCCCCGAATAGCCTGAACAGACTTTTGAAACAAGTGTTGTTAGCAAGCACCTATGAAGGCCGGAATGGCGCACCACTCCCGTCCGCCTTTATCTCCCCACCGCTGATGATTACTCACCAATTAGCACGGCTGGCAACGCACGGTGCGAAAGAAGTTCAACGTACAGAGTGCACCAGGTACTCCATATTGAGGCTGAGACGACCTCGGGGATGGTCCCAGGACCGGTTCAGACAATCGTCACCATTGGCAGCCGTGACGCTAGAGTCGAACTCGGGTCTCCTGGGTTCGTAGCCCAGCGCGCTAACACACACAAACACGCACCGTCTCGCCCACCTCCCCCATCCATCTCCAAGGGATGTCGACGCTGGACCGCAATGCGTCAAGTCGCATGGGCGTGCGCGCCGCCGTATACTACATGATCACCACGCTGCTCGCCGTCTTCGTGGGCATCGTCATGGTGATGGCCATCCAGCCCGGCCGAGGGGGTCGCGACGCTCCCAGGGCGCACAACCAGCTGGAGCGCCTCCACGCCGCCGACGCGTTCCTCGACCTCATCCGGTGCGGTCGGAGCTCGGCTCTGGGATTTTAGCTCGACGCGAGCTATAAGTGGTTCTGATGCTCGCGTTGCCTTCGTACCACTTTTCGACCCTTTTTTGGCGTTGTTCTCTGGTCTAACGCCGGGGTGGTGAGACAAGGACGTGAAGAAAGTTGAACGCCGGTCAGTTCCAAAGACAACGCGTATATTTGATTTGAAGATTTCGTGACTGCAGGAATTACTCTTTGGTTCTTTCGGTGAAGGCACGTAGAAATAAAATAAAATGAAAAATAATAGAATACACGACGTTTCGATTGCAACACAAGCAACCGTCATCAGGGGTGTCTCTCTCCGAGCTTGCATTCTTTCGCACCTGATGACGGTTGCTTGTGTTGCAATCGAAACGTCGTGTATTCTATTATTTTTATTTCTACGTGACTTTATCGAAAGAACCAAAGAGGAATGCGTATATTATTTATCACAGCATGTTTGTTTGCATGTTTTGCCACACGTACGTGTGGTTAATGCAGGTTCGACGCCTTAGGCTCGATGCCTTGCAAAAGGTAACTTTTTGATGTTTGAACCTCTTAGCACCTGTTTTATTGCCAGAAAAAGGTCAAACCTATTCGTTTTTTTTATCATTTTGGATACTGGCAAAAAGGTTTGCGACCCTGACGCCTGCTGTATATTTGGAGTTTGCGTGTCTCTCTCTTATCATCATCATCATCATCACGGTGGCTATGAGATGTTAACTACCTCGCCTGGTGTACAGGAGGTCGTGGGGTTTGGTCCCAACCCTGACGCCTGCTGCTGAATATTTGGAGTTTGCGTGTCTCTCTCCCCGTGATCACGTGGATTTTTCTCCGGGTCCCCCGGTTTTTTCATCCAACATTTAGGAACATGCCTTTTAAAGTATTTGACTGCTTTAAATTTTCCCATGATGAGTCACTTCGTTGAGCTATCATTTGTGGCCAGGTCTGCTTCTGAAAATAAGCTACAGTATATAGCTCAGTGGGTCTTACCTCATACAATAAAATAAAGTTTCGTTTTGGTTTAGATGATAACGTGACACAGAGGGCTATTGCCACGGCCCGTCTGATTCGTTCATCTCGGTCACATCGTCACGCTTTGTCTCTCGCCTCTCTGCCCCGCAGGAATATGTTTCCCCCAAACCTAGTGGAGGCGTGCTTCAAACAGGTGTGTAGACACACCTGCCATCCAGACACACACGCGTAATGCGTACGTATACGCTACATGTATTCGCGCAGGATATGTATTTCAGAAGCAAATACGCACAGAGCCGTGCCTAGGACACACGACGAATTGGGGCGACAGCCCCGGGCCTCGCGCTGTGGGGGGGGGGCCCGCGCTTGGATGTCAAGGCGTCATTTGTAATAATTCAGGTTTAGTTTGAAGGCTTCGGGGGGGGGGGGGCGGTTTGCCCCGGGCCCCTGCACCCCCTGCTCACCCCTCCCCCTATGTGCGGCCTTGCGTACATATTTCGTTTCACTTGACATCTGTGTTGCTTACATTTTTATCTTTAGCCTCAGTTTGCAGTCTTCTCCATTACATTCTTCATTTATCACCTCCAGTGCAGTTCCAGTGTTATATTGCAACGGATTCTCTGCACACAAAAAATACTTGGAGGGACACGGCACATAATTTATACAAGCACAATGCACACATACATACATAGAATATAAGACGTACATACACATTATGTACATACGTGCATGCTTCCCAATGCATTGGCTGTAGGTATCATACAGTCAGTTTAGACGTGAGGTCGCTCATTCTCCTCTGCTGGCCCCATTGTCTGAAATTCACTTCTTGCAGACGTCCGTGCTGTCGACTCCCTGCCCCGGTTCAAGTCCAGGCTCAAAACCTGCTCCTGTTTGCCTCTGACAGTGGACTGCCGCCACAAAATACGCATGCCCAGTGTGTCTGTACAGCACCTTGCATGCTATTGTGAAATCATTGTGACTGGCCGCATCAGCCCGAGCCCCCGGTGTTCTCCGCAATCATCGATTGAGATCACCCTCATGATCACCAATGTATTATTTACACTGCTTCCTCCCGTGCAGTACACAGACACTCTGCTTCCAATCTCCTCCGGTTAGCACGGTTGTCTACACACGCTGCAAAAGAAGTTCCGATGTACATTCACGCGTGCATAATCCCATCGCCCCTTCCTTCTCTTCTGACACCGACCCACACCGCAGTACAAGACTCAGTATGAGGCGGTGAAGATTCCAAGAGGCCACGCCACCACCACCGCAGCCACCGCAGCCACCGCCACCGCCGCAACAACAACAACAACAACCGAGCGCTTGAGCCTGACGGTCGCCGTGATGAACGCCACGGCCGAGCTGCTCCGGGGGAACGCGACCTCTGCGGAGGAGGCGGCCGGCTTCCTGCTCAACGCCACGGCGGCGCTGGCGGCGATGCGGCCCGGCGAGGCCGACCCGGCCGGCTCGGCGGCGCCAGTCGAGGAGGAGGAGGAGCTGGTGCCCGCCGCCGGGTCCAGCAACGGCATGAACGTGCTGGGCCTCGTGGTGTTCTCCATGTGCTTCGGGCTGGTGTTGAGCAGCGTGCGCGAGCGCGGGCAGGTGGTGCGTGACTTCTTCGACAGCCTCAACGAGACCATCATGAAGCTCGTCACCATCATCATGTGGTGAGTGCGGAGTGTGGAGTACGGGGGGGGGGGGGGGGGGTGCTCGCTAACAGCACTTTCCCCCAACAGTCTGTTAAGGCTATACGGGGGACCTTTGTCTTTGTTTGGGAGGTGGTGGGGGGGCTGTATGGACAGCAAGTAGAGGGGACCGAGAGAGAGGTGGAAAGAGAATCAGGAAGAGAGATAGGTGGAGAGATGGAGATATACGGATGGGGAATTTCCACAGAGACAGAATATAAACATTGAGACACAGCTAGAGACATGGAGAGAGACACAGAGGGAGACACGCACAAGAGACGCAGACCTAAGTAATGGAGACAGCGAGAGACATGGAAACAAGTACAGAGACACACGCGCAGAGTGGTCACATAGACACAGGGACAGACACACGCACAGTAACAGGCAAGGGGAAATTCACAGAGACAGACACAGAGAGTCACAAAGACAATTGAGAGGCCTTCATCCAACAGATGATTGACAAAGGGACTGTACATAAGTATTATTACATTTGACTAGCAGTACAATTATACCTCGGTAAGTTTTTGCCACTGCATTTTCCATTGATCTCACATCTCACTTTTATATTCGCAATTTCTGAAGGCGATGCAGGAATCTAAACCTGAACACCATCTTGCCTGGACTAACAAAGACAAATATGCCCCGTATAGCCTTAACAGACTGGTGGGGCAAGTGCTGTTAGCGAGCGCCTATGAAGGCCGACACAGCACACGAGGGGATGGGTGGCCAGCACCACACCCGGCCACCCATGTCTCCCCACCAGGTACGATACTCATTTGAGGCTGAGTCAACCTAGGGGAGGCCCAGGATCAGTTCAGTTCAGATAATCGTCACTGGTGTTGGGCCGTGAGTGGGAATGGAACTTGGGGCACCGTGTTTGTAGCACGGCGCACCAACCGCTACACTACCCCCCCCCCCACGCCCGGACTGACACACGCGTGCGTCTCCAACAGGTACGCACCGGTGGGCATCATGTTCCTCATCACGGGCCGCATCCTGGAGATGGAGGACCTGGGCGCCGTCGGGGGCCAGCTGGGCCTCTACACGGTGACGGTGATTGCCGGCCTCGCCGTGCACTCCCTCGTGGTGCTGCCGCTGCTCTTCTTCCTCTTCACGCGACGCAACCCCTGGACGTACATCGGCGGAGTCCTGCAGGCCCTCGTCACGGCCCTGGGGACCTCGTCCAGGTGAGGGGGCAGGGTCTGGGGCAGGGTCAGGAAAAAGATCAGGGCGACCGGGGTATGGTCGGGACAAGGACAGGGAACGATCAGGGTGCGGTGTGTAAACCACGCAGGAGACAAAGGCGGTCAGGCGTGGTACTGGCCACCCACTCCAACGTGTGCTGTGCCGGCCTTCATAGGTGCTACTTCCTAACAGTACTTGCCTCAACAGTCTTGTTAAGGCTATACGGGGGATTTTTGTCTTGTATAACATTGTGCGTTTGATAATCACTGGCCATTCCCCCCCCCCCCCCCCCACCAGCTCTGCGACTTTACCCGTCACCTTCAAGTGCCTGGAAGAGAACCTCGGGGTGGACAAGAGGGTGACTCGCTTCGTGCTGCCCGTCGGGGCCACCATCAACATGGACGGCACGGCGCTGTACGAGGCCGTGGCAGCCATCTTCATAGCGCAGGTCAACGACTACGAGCTCAACCTGGGTCAGATCATCACCATCAGGTGCGGCGATAACGACGACGACGACGATTAACTATTACTGATGATTAACTTTATTCCCAACACCTCCGATTAGCACGGTTGGCTACGTACGGTGCGAAAGAAGTTCAACATACATACCTACGACATACATACACCGCTTCCATCATGCCGTCCTCACCTTCCCATCATCATCACACCACGACTCCTACCATAATTGTGATTTTAAAAATGCACCACTATCATTCCATCATCAACATAATCTTACCCTCACCACCACCAACACTAAGATCACCATTACAGCATCATAACCACTACCATGATCATCATGTGATTCTCACTGAGCATCTAACATTGTTATGCTGTGATACAGGTTGCTCAGGGCAGCACAGCGCTCGACACATCACTCGACCCGCACTAAGTGAGCGATCTTCTGTCTCCTCGTGTGCCGGTTACGTGCCGCGGGGGCCCAGTATCACGGCCACAGCCGCGAGCATCGGTGCGGCTGGAATACCGCAGGCCGGGCTGGTCACCATGATCATCGTCCTCACGTCTGTGGGGCTCCCCACAGAGGACATCACCCTCATCATCGCCGTGGACTGGTTCCTGTGAGTGCCGCTCCCGTCTCCTCACTCTGATCTCTCCATACAATCGGTTCCTTCCACCGAGACCTCCCTCCCCATCTCCTCTTGCCCCTCACCCTCCACATCCTCCTCCTTGTCCCCAACCACCTCCTCGCTATCTCCACCTAAAGAACTCACTGGCCCCCCAGTCTCTGACTCCTGATCCACATAGCCACCTGAATGCATCTCTTGCAACCCCCTAGGTAATTGGGGTCAGCAACCTGCGGCTCTTTAAGGGCTACTTCGTCGTGACCTTATTCACGGGCATTGCGGCTCGTGAAAAATCTATTTCTTTTATTTTAACGGAATTCGAAAAAATGTCTCTGCTTGTTATTTTCGTTGCCGACCCCTGCGCTAGGCCGCGGGTGGATAACCTATGGCACTCAGGCCAGATAAGGCCCACAACTTCCATTAACGTGGCCAATAGCCACATGAGGTCCGCAAATGATATCTCTCCATCACCACAAGCATCTTAGCTGCACGAATCGGACACTACGACTCGGTCAGAATGCTTTTGGCTTCACGACACCACTCCATGTTTGGGGTTTCATTGCACTCAGTCACTACTGTCACTGCAAAAGCCTCTTTAAACTTGGTTTAACAGCCATGCTATTTTCTTGGTTTATTATTGGATCATGCTCGGGTGTGTCTGAACGTGTGGTCCGCAGAAATATATTTGATAGTGCTGTGCGGCCTTCCATAAGGAAGAGGTTTTCCTCTCCTTTCTTAAAGGAAGACACAATACATACAGTTATAAAGATCTATGGTGAATCCACACCTAAGCTATGTATGGATTTCTGAAATGAGTTTGAAGCTTTATTTACGAAATATGCATTGAAATCATACTCAGGTCCTCCATCAGCACGCTAGTGATGTCATGTTGTGCTGCATTGGAGTGGCATAGTGATTTTACGGTTTATCGCGATACTATAACGTATTGTCTGATCATAATGTTAACGATCCTTATTTAATTACTGAAGCTGCAGATTCGTGTTAAACAATCCAGCTCAATCTAGCTCTCTTCTCGTAAATACATATCTTAGATGGGTATGTAAAGCTCTGTTCTACGTTTTCAACTTCTTCCACCCCATCTTCTCCCAATCTTCTTGCTCCTCATTACTACCCCTTTGCTTACACGTTCAGTGCTAAAGTTAAATTGATGTTTGGATTTGAGTCCCTCTCTCTGACAATCATGCCCACTTGTCTTTCTCACACCACATCACCATTACCACCAACACCACTTACCACTGTCATAATTAACATCGTAATATCACTCTTTCACCACCATCACCATCATGATCACTGATACTGAAATCACCACCGGCTCCACCACCACGTTAAATAATTATCATCACCACCACCACTATACAATCATGATCATTATTGCTGCCATCATCACACGACCACCACCACCATGATAACAAATATCATTCATTATTACTCCACCATAATACCATCACCACCATCACAACCATCATCACCATAACCATAAACATCACTGATGCCATAATCACTACGGGCACACCACCACTACCATAAACAATTGTAATAATTTCACCATCATGGCCACCACAATCACCACTATAATCGTGATCATCATTGCCACCACTACCACCACGACTATCACCTCCACTATCACCGCCACCATCATCCACCGCCTCCTGCCCGCGCGCAGGGACCGACTGCGCACCACCACGAACGTGCTGGGCGACTCGCTGGGCGCCGGCATCGTGGAGCACCTGTCCCGGCACGAGCTGGCGCGCCAGGACGCGCTCGAGATGGCGGAGGCCGGCATGGAGGGGGACGGCGGTGGCATCGCCCCCCGCAAGGGTTCCATGTACCAGCCCATCTGTCCCGAGGAGCCTCTCGGCTGCCGGGCACGCGTCCCACACGCCGGCGGCACCACCGCAGCCAGCAGCCTGGAGACCAACATGTGAAGCGTGGGGAGGGTCATGCGCCCGCAGGGCCGGCTGTGCTCGCAGGGCCGGTTGTGTTCGCAGGCCATGCGGTTGTGTTCGCAGGGCCATGCGCTCGCAGGGCCGGCTGTGCTCGCAGGGCCGGCTGTGTTCGCAGGGCCATGCGCTCGCAGGGCCGGCTGTGTTCGCAGGGCCGGCTGTGTTCGCAGGCCATGCGGCTGTGTTCGCTCGTAGCCATTGCAAGTGGGCCAGCTCGATCCAATAAGATCTGTTATATCAACACCATGTACAAGTCACCCGTGTTAAATCACAGCCATGAAAACTCAGCTCTATCCAATCAGATCGATTGCATTTGCCGTTGTAACTTGCTGACCCGGCCATACTGGACATCCGTGAAAAAGAGCTTCATAGCTCATCGGATTCCTCCAGTATAAATATTCTGATTTTGAACACCATGACAAGTCAGCTGTGTTGAATCGCAGCCATTAAAACGCTATTCAATTAGTACGTCTCCACAATATGAAGGCCTCCTTCACACGATGTGTTTTTGTGAAGGATGTGTATTGTTTGCTTATTTTGTTATATATATTCTCCACAAAGATGTTCGTGATTATTTTGTGTAATCTATTCGACCAAATCCACTACAAGTATTGATGTCTATTAAATCGCTTCCATTAAATCGGACCTTACTCTTTGGTTCTTTCCGTAAAGTCACGTAGGTATAAAATATTAAAAATATATATAAACTATATTTAAAAAATGAAATAAATAGGAAATTATTTTATTTTTGATTTTCTACCTACGTGACTTTACCGAAAGAACCAAAGAGTATGGATACCTGCAGTCACGAAAACTTCAAATCTAGAATAATCGGACCTCTTACAATTTAAACACATCTGTGACAAACTGTCTTGGCAGTCGTGCACAAGCACACATGGCAAAAAGCAATTATTTCGTCAATGACATCCCTCAACAAGAAAAAATATAAATTTACATGAGTGACGTTTGGGGGAATGGCCCTTCATAGCATCTCTCTGCTATTAATCTCTTTGCTATGCAGAAGGACCGTTGCCCAAAATGTCACCTAATATATCGTTTCCTCTCCAATGCCATGGTATTGATGAACGTGTTGAGTTTTTAGTGCAAGCCAGTTGTATTCATTCAGACCCATTGCAGACAAGTTCTCTATGGTCCGGGGCAATGAAGATGGGAGGAATCTACGATCAAGTCACCCAGAATGTGCCACATCCTATCCTAGCAGAGCTCAGAAACTAGCAGGGCTGAGTCTGGTTGTTGCCTGGGTGGGAGACTGCCTGGGAATACAAGGTGGTGGTGTGAGCGATGACTGCATGGTGACCACGAGATGCAGTACAGCAAATAGATTCTTGAATGTATCTGTACAGAGCTTGGAGTGTAACCGCCACGTACGCAAAGCATGTTGGGTCTACGAGCGGTTGTATCTTTGCACAGATAGGCCGGTAATCAACTTGCTGTACTACATCCCACTTATATTGTGTTTTTTCTTCTATGGATGAATATCATATGCACACAATGGCTCAAAATTTGCGTGTGTAACAGTGCAGTAATATTGTGCTGCACACATTACTGTGCTGGGCAGCTTTAGAGGGAGTTCAACTTATTCCCACACGCGAAACCCAACAGCCTAATCACGACATTGTGTACTGTGCTGGATTCATATTTACTCAGGACTCAACCTTCTCTCTGAATATTTTCCCTGGTCACTGGTAGATTGGAGTGGGTGGTACGTGACTACTTTAGTAACCACAGCCATAAACGAGAGGTATACTGGATGTGGTGTGCAGGGTAAGGAAATATTTGACGCGTCGCCGACCTGGAGAGACCCGGTTGAAATGAATCCCTCTTGTGTATTATGTGGTAGGAGACTGTATTGCGTTCTATTACTGTGCCGGTGTAAAGGCTAGATTTGTGTACAATGTGCCTAAGTGCATATCTTGTGTGTGTGCAGTGGTCTGTAAAGAAGTAAAAGTTACACTAATCACATAACACGTTATACTCCATGCTTAATTTACTTAACACTAACTTGGTATATTATACATGAAGATGCAATTAACTTAAATACCAACTCATAACAACAATACGGTTTTGACTTTATAAACGTCTGTACGTGATCTCATTCTCTTAAAGTAAATCATGAAACAATTATGGCGTGCTGATGAGCACTAAGAACATGAAGCCAGCATAAGTTGACAGTAATGTGCAATCTTTAATTGAAAATATAAAAAAACTAAATCAAATAAATTAAAATTAAAACAATGTTTTTATTATTTATTGTTTCCCTTCTACGTGACTTTACCTAAAGAACCAAGAATATGAATCCCTGCAGTCACGAAAGCTTTAAATCAAAATTTAACTAAAGTGATTTGTTTTAATTTAGTTGTTTTCATTTTAATTTATTTTATTTAGTTTTTTACCTACGTGACTTTACCGAAAAAAACCAACGAGTATGGATCCTTGCAGTCACGAAAACTTCAAATCTAGAATTAAAATAAATACTTTGGTTTAGTCTAACTCTACAAAATTGTGATAAAATATTCAAAATGTTCTAGATAACGACATTTATGCTTTCTCCATTTGTCTTATTATAAAGGAGTCGTGGGTATTATAGTGCGGCATCATCGTTATTAAGCACAACAAATATAAAACTACGTTAAAGTAAAATACATTAATGTAATATGGATGTATCAGTTGAGTTTGCGTCTAACCAACGTGTAGGCTATGTTATGCAAGCTGTGTAAGTGATGACAAAGCTAACCTGAGTAAAAAAAGATGCGAAAGCAGTTTAAAACCGACGAGAATGATGTTTATTGAAGTGAGGTTATTTACGTGTATTGGCCAACCTTTTGAGATTGTAGCATAGAGTAAATTTTATTTAGCATTGGTTTTTTTTAGCAAAGTACTGTAACATATTTGTTTTTGTGTGATTACATTTTAATACTAAAATTCGTTCGCTATGCTTTGTGTCGAATATAAACGTTCATTATCCGTAAAGGAGAGCAATTTGCTTTGGGTGGCTTGTTTTTTAATGACACGGAGATGCAGAAAGTTGAATACTCAAAGAAAACGCAGTCCTCGTTTAAAGCGGCAGATGCGTTCCTTAAAAAGTGCTGCGTTAAGCGAAAACAATTTCGCCGTAAGAATGAACGTAACAACGATAACGTTTGGCGAGATACGACGAACCCACACGCGGCGAGACGGTGGCACAAAACACATTCCTGCGGAGGGAGCTGGTAGGAACGTTGGGTTGCTCGGTCAATGGCCAGGGTCAACGGCGGCACCACCACGTGGTGTATTCCGCAAATATGCTCGACTGTGAGGGTGGGCACAAGCCGGCATGAGTAGGTTAAACGTTGAGTTTTATAAGGGCACCACGGGGTGACCAGCCCCTCCCCACCTAGCCACACCCCACCCAGCCCCACCCTCCCCACCCAGCCCCACCCTCCCCACCCAGCCCCTCCCCACCCTCCCCTCTCCACCCAGCCCCACCCCTCCCATTTTTGGATGCACGACGGACGGACGGACACAATAATCCCCTGTGGGCTGGTGGTGTAACCAGGAGGTTCCCACCAGTATAACGGAGGATATGCCACCGCGTTATTGTATCATTCCGCGTAAGGGGCCGTCCATAAATGACGTCACGCACCTCGGGGGTGGGGGTCAGACATTTGTGACGATGTGTGACGAGGGGGGGGGGGTTGAGAAATGTGACGTCACATCAAAATACGCAACTTTAAATAAATATAGACAACACGTTCTACTTAATGAAATCAACTTTTTTATGTTTTCTCCTACAACATCAGAGTGCAGCGGCACATTAAATATGCACTACAATGACAATAGTTGAAAGCGATTTGAAGCATATAGTAATAGGGTTTTACCCTTTTAACTGGCACAAAAACTGACACCTTTATTCAAGGCATCATGTTTGCAATAACCATAACACAAGCAGTCAAAATGCAAACAAAAGAGACAACTCTGATAATAATATGCACTGTCCTTGAAATTGATTGGTCCACACCCGAGACGGCTTTTCTTAGAGCCTAGTCTCCACTGGTGTTGGACCAGAAGACGCCAAAAGGCGTACAACTCAACAACAGCGCACTATCAGAGTATTGAGGGCTCGGGGTGAGCATTTACATTATGAGACCTCCTTTGCCAGTAGCAAGATATAGGAATAGGTTTTACCCTTTTAGCTGGCAGAGCCTAGTGGAGAAAAGCCGTCTCGGGTGTGGACCAATCAAATTCAAGGACAGTGCATATTATTATCAGAGTTGTCTCTTTTTGTTTGCATTTTGACTGCTTGTGTTGTGGTTATTGCAAACATGATACCTTGAATAAAGGTGTCAGTTTTTGTGCCAGCTAAAAGGGTGAAAACCTATTACTATATCTTGTTACTGGCAAAGGTCTCATAATGTAAACGATTTGAAGCATGTTTTCTCCTTTTTGGGGGGGGGGGGGGGGGCACAGCATTGTGACGTCATATTTGACTTTTTGTGACGCAGTGTGACTAGGGGCGGGGGGGGGTCAAAAATCGTCCCAAATCGCGTGACGTCATTTATGGACGGCCCCGAAGTCATTTCACAATTTTAAGTTTAACCTGTCCCGTGCTGCCATCTCCCGTCCAATATGAGAATCAATGTGCACAAGAAGAGTAACATCGCCGTGCTGACGGACTCCCAGAATCAGAATGTTTATTCAGACTGCAGGAGGAATCCGATGAGCTATGAAGCTCTTTTTCACAGACCTCCAATCGGGCCGCGGGGTCAGCTCGTTACAACAGGTAACAACATTACGTTTAACTCTTCTACAGACGGGAGAGCACAAACGTGAAAATAACTATTACATATTCTTAGCTCTTTCGGTAAAGTCACGTTGAAGGGAAACAATAAAATAATAAAATATAAATAAATGCACCGTTTGAAAATAAATAAATTAATGCAAACCGACACACCTGATGACGACCGTTTGTGTTATGGTCGAAACGTCGTAAGAATTTTTATTTTTTATATATATTTTATTATTTTATTGTTTCCCTTCAACGTGACTTTACCGAAAGAGCTAAGAATATGAATTACTGCAGTCACGAAAGCTTTAAATCAAAATAACTTTTACATTTCCGTCTATATAATAGCTAGGGTATACAGTACACGTATAGTACTGTACTGAGACATTCACCACAATAATGACGTCATCGCATCGTCTCGCGCGGTGACGTCATCACGTCGTCTCGCGCAGTTCGCGCGCGATGACGTCATCGCGCTGTGTCGTGTTCCCTCGCGCAGTTCTCGCGCGATGACATCATCGCGTTTCCACGCGTCACATCCGCCCCTCGTGTCGCACTGTACCGAGAAGACGGGTGGCGTTTCCGTCATCACCACCACCATCAACAACATCAATAGCGATAATAAAAACCATCATCATAACAACGAAACAATAATCCTCATTATCACAGGCAACATTTGTGATAGGTATAGTAATGCTTATAAGAGTGAACGTACATTTACGAAGCAAGTGAGCTCGTGAGGAAGACGAGCAACGACATGGCTACCCCGGTGAGCGCGCTACGTTCGTTCGTGTTTGCGGCTCGTATTTGTCTGTACCGTGGTCATGTTGAACTTCTTCTGCGCCGTACGTAGCCACCCTTTGCCAATCGCAGGTCCGGAATCTGGAGTCGGCTCTTGCTCTCATCCCCGTGAATGGTATAAACTAACGAATCCATTGTCAAGTCGCGGGCCATTGTTGCTCTACGTAACGTCACTTCGGAGAAGCTTCGAAAGTACGGCGGGGAGTGTGGGGGGGGGGTTGGCTTCGCAGTGACCGTCACGAGCGCCTTCTGTGACTTATAAAATATAATGTTTTCATTGACGAAGCTTCGTGTGGGGGACGTTCTGGGACGCGCAGCTACAAAGTGATTGTGTTTTTTTTTAGTCGTCATTATCAGACCGGTCGACTCGGTCTCAAATGAGTACCTGGTGCGGTGTGTAGTAAACATCGCCACTGGGGAGACAAAGGCGGCCGGGCGTGGTGTTGGCCACCCAACGCCTTGCGTTTCGTGCCGGCCTTCATAGGCGCTCGCTAACAGCACTGGCCCCAATCGTCTGTTACAGGATATACAGGGGATCTTTGTTTATTATAAGACCCGAGGTATCGTACATTTCCTCCCATCGTCTCTTATCCCAAGCTCTCATAAACCTGTATTTCAATTCAAGAAACGTGTCATGCCGTGTCCATCACAACGTTGGTTGTGCTGTTTGTTGGTCGCTTGATGTTTTGTGTCCTTTGTTCAGCAACTGTGTAAGAAAACAAAGACCGCTTTAATTATGTCGACCTCAGTTCTGTTCAATTTGACAATTTTGTAAGATGACGTCTCTGGAAACCTTGCGGAGCGTGTGGCTGGAAGGAGGAGTGTTTGTGTTTTGCGAGAGTTCGTGTACCACAGGTGGTGTGCTCGAAGTTGCACCTAATTTTGGCACAAACATCTGGGTGACATGGCCGCCTCTTCGTGGCGGATGGCGTTGTTGTTGTTACTTCATATGTCGTAGCGAACCCGATATCCTGAGCCACCCCGACTGAACCATCAACGAGTACCCGGTGCAATAAGTTAGCACCATGAATACGGTCAGACAATTCAGTAGCCACAACACCCGTTCGCGTGCCATGCTGGCCTTAATAGGTGTTCACTAGTTTCAGTTTTCATTTATTTGGTTTTACCCTGTGAGCCAAGAGCCGGGTGCAACCGCAACAAACAATACAATTACAAGAGACATTTAAAATTTACTGCACGCAAATGTAAACATCCTCTATATATATAAAAAAAAACCACAATTAACAATGCTTTCCCCATACAGTATGTGCGTCTAAACGTGTGTGTGTGTATCCTGCAGGGAGGCAGCTCTAAGACAACGAGCACGGAGTATGTGGTGCGTGTGCCCAAGTGAGTTCCCAGTGCTCCCAATGTCGCAGTCATCGCTGTGGACACACAGC